ATATCATTATCAATTATTTATCTAACTATATCCATGATCAATCCAATTTCAATATTATAGGCTTTCATACACAACAAAATTTCTATGTATTGATTTGGCAAGAGAAAATTTGGTATAAATTTTTAAATGGTGACTTATGAAAGGAAGTTTAGACTAAATGGCTTTTTATTCAGTAATATCATTATCCAATTTTAGCAGACCAGGTTTTGACTTCCTCTCTCCCATTTTGGTCTTGCAGGTTTGATGAAATTGTTGGTGGATTTGATCAGTTGCCTATGTGCATGTATCAAGCCATTGCCAACAACGTGTACTTCAATGCCCAAGTAACCAAGATACAACAGAATGCTGAGAAAGTCAGAGTGGAATATCAAACCCCAGCAAAGACCTTGTCAGATGTGACAGCTGATTATGTCATTGTGTGCTCCACGTCAAGGGCCACCCGTCGCATCTCTTTTGAACCACCCCTTCCACCAAAGAAAGCACACGCTTTGCGGTCTATCCACTACAGAAGTGGTACCAAGATCTTCCTCACTTGCACTAAGAGGTTTTGGGAAGCTGATGGTATTCATGGTGGGAAGTCCACAACTGATCTTCCATCCCGATTCATCTACTACCCTAATCATAACTTTACTAGTGGCGTTGGGGTTATTTTGGCCTATGTCATTGCTGATGATGCCAATTTCTTTCAAGCTCTTGATATCAAGAGCATGGGTGATATTGTCATTAATGACCTTTCATTCATCCATCAGCTGCCCAAGGAAGAGATCCAGGCCCTCTGTTACCCCTCAGTGTTTAAAAAATGGAGCCTGGATAAGTATGCTATGGGTTCTATAACCACATTCACTCCCTACCAGCTTCAAGATTTTAGTGAATCACTTGCTGCACCTGTAGGCAGAATCTACTTTGCAGGAGAGCATGTTGCCAAAGTTCACGGTTGGGTGGACAACACAATTAAGACAGGGCTGACAGCAGCAAGAGATGTGAATCGTGCATCTGAGAAGCCATCAAGAATCCATCTGATCAGTGACAATCAACTTTAAGAAGGTCTACAAAAGAAGAATTATAAACAGAGAACTACAGCCACTTTTCCCCCATTCCAGATGTTTCAGACTATAATTTCCAGAATTCCAACAGGGAATTCTAGGAGATGTAGTCCCAGGAGTTTGGAGCCAGAAGGAATTGGGGGAAGTAAGCTGATTTGGCCTAACTAAATTATCAAGTTATATCTAAGAGCATCTTAGAGGTAACAAAAATAAACCACAGAATGGAAAGGTTTACTAACATGCCACTCCAATTTGGAAAGGAAGTCCTCTCAGGAAAATCTATATACACTCGTTTCTGTAACCTTTAACTGGGCGAAACAGAGGGCAATAATTTTTTGAACCAAAATACCTAATGGGTTAAGTTACAAAATGCATCCAAAATCCAGAACCCATGATTCTCCAGGAACTAAAATTTAGCAAATTTTATGAAACATTTTATGTCATTTGTCTGAAATGGTATAGAATTTCTTGCTTGAGCAGGAGGTTAGATTAGAAGAGCTCCAAAGCTCCTTCCAACTCTATTGTTCTGACAAAAAATATATCATAAAAACAGCTTATGTTATAATGCAAGATACCGTAAAACATTTCTTGTGCTGATATTTTACTGTGCAATACAGTTCACCATGTGCTATTTCAAGGCAGGTGTGTCTGTGAATGTGTCCCAACTTTTTAGTGAAGGTAGTACATTAGCTCTGCCATTGTTCAAGTGATTGAGGAATCTAGTAAAGAACTATCTCTAAAGGGATGACCAACAAGTCATGGGTTATCTAAAGATAGGATCCTTCTGTTGTCCTTTCCAAAAAGGAATGGAAAAGAAACAGGCAGTTGTTGTTACAAGTGGCTTTGTGAGTTTATGCTACTACTTCATTTTAAAAGATTTCATATGTATGACCATATTTCTTTGGTACGTCAAGCATCTACTGGTCCTAAACTCTGATCCTATATTTCCTGCAGCCATCAAAAATTGCCAATGCTACAGTGTCATTGATGGGGAAGAAAACACATTATATCATCAAGCAGGCCCCTAGACAACCTTAATTTGTAATTTCTCCAGTTTGCAACCCTTCTCTGACTAGAGTTCTGGAAAACCGGGAATACAGAAAATGATAATAAAAGCATACATTATAATTTCCCTGCCTCTTAATGTGTTTGTTTGTTTGTGCTTTAGCTTGGGGCTAGAGATGGAGAAATCCCTGGGACTCTAAACTGGCTAAACCAGTTTAAATTAATCTGGTTTTAAAATAAAATTAAAAATTATTTTTTTTAAATTAAAACCACTTTAACAAAAATGCAACGTACTTTTGCATTTAGAACTGCTAATTGTTAGAAATTTTGTATAAAAGTACCACATAGAGCGAAATGTACAGTCAACATGTGCCTTACTGCTCAACTATGTAACTGTAACAGGAAACAGGAAACTCTCCTTAGACCAAGAAAGCATAGAGCATATATACCATAGATCCAAATCTGTAAACACCAGCTGTCATCTACTGGCTAAATACTATGGTTGTTGTTGTATAAAAATATATTCTAACAATGAGTTCCAACACTAATAAATAGTCTATGGGTGGGAAGAAATCTTAAATGAATGAAGACTACACCCTTAAAGAGATAAAGTTATATGGCTAATACTGCATGTTGTCAATTTTCACAATCCAATTGTGCAGACCAAGTGTCAGAATTTCCAGGAGTAAACAGAAATGAACAGCTAAAATAGGAGACGCTACTGTCTCCTTTTGTTAACTTTCAACTATGTTACCTTTTCTAATGAGCATCTTTTGATCCACCTGACGTGCTATTGTAACTGTGAGAATTTCTAATAAAGTTATTGCCTGCATTAGAATGGCTAATTTTGTGTTTTTAATAGAAATCCTATATGAAGAATGGGAAAGAACTATTCACAAGGCAGTTCCTTTGCTTTGGAGGAGCTCTTTGTGTTTCTGCAGGTTAATTCTACAAAATTATTTCTCAGTTGTTCATATACTAATATGAACAACTTGTATTTATATGCCAAATTGTATTAATATCTAACAAAGACAATTGTTGCAGTTATCATCATGATTCCATAGTCCTTATCTGCCACTATAAGGACCATAGAATCATGATGGTGACTGGAACAATTGTTTTTATTGGCACATAAAGTTTAGTATATCTATTAAAAGAACAAAAGTAGCCACCCTGTCCATACAAAAATTCTAATGCAGGGTGAATGGTACCCTAGTCCTCAACCTACGGCCACAATTAAGTTCAAAATGTCTGTTGTTAAGTGAGTTTTACCCCATTTTATGATCTTTCTTGCCACAGTTGTTAAGTGAACTACTGCAATTGTTAGTAACCTGGTTGTTAAGTAAATCTGGCTTCCCCAGTGATTTTGCTTGTGAGAAGGTCATAAAAAGTGATCAGATGACTTGGGGACACAGCAATCATCATAAATATGAACCAGTTGGTAAGCATCTGAATTTTGATCACATGATCATGGGAATGCTGGAACTGTGAAAAACAGCTGTAAGTCCCATTTTTCAGTGTTGTTGTAACTTTGAACAGTCACTAAGCAAACTGTTGTAAGTTGAGGATTACCTGCATTAACAGTTTTTGGTTCTTCATATTAACAAAAAGTCAATTTTCCCTCAAGTCAATCTCAACTCCTGATGGATAGCTCATGTATTTTTTTTGGCAGCTTTATGGGAAGAAGTTTACCCCTTTTTTCCTGGGATTTTTCAGTATTCTCCCATCCAAACACTCATCAAGTCCCACCTTTCTTAGCCTGCCTGAGATTAGCCAAGATTGGTTAGGGGTTGCTGTGTGTCATTTGACAGCACCATGAGTCATAATTTATTGCCTGGACACCAGCTCCATTTTAAAAACTTCCCCTATGTTCTACTGTCTTTGAATGACTTGAGATCAACGCATGGTAAAAAAAGAAGTGAACAAACTTTGGGCATCTAATAGTGATTATTCATTATTTTATTTACTGCAATTGCCAATTTGCAATCGTTAAAGGTTGTGATTGGTATCTATAATGTCCTACATGGCATAGGACCTGGCCATTTGAGAGACCACCAGTCTCCCATAGTACTGATTGTACTTGCATACTCCAAGTTCTTTTAATTAAACAATGCAATCTATCAGGACTATAGCAGAACCTGCTCTCTGGAATAATGAGATCTGGATAGGCCCCACCACTTTCAGTTTGGGGAGAGCACTGAAGACTTGGCTCTACCCCCAGGCCTTTGGCAAGCATGATTGATGCTCCCTTTTCCTGTTTTCCTATCTCTGCCACTTTTGTTCTTTTGTTGTGGCTTTGAATTGCTTTCTTGCTTAAACTGTCTTTAGCAGTTTGTAAACTGGTCAGAGTCACTGAGAGGCAGTATATAAATTTATTAGGGTTCATTGCATAGTCAGCTAGATGTTTAGACTATGTTTGGAATTTTTAATCCTTCCCAAAGACTGGGGATAGGCAGTTGTTTCATGATGTTAAAGATATGATTGCAAGATGTAAGCTGTTCCAAGTAAAGCTGCCTTTTGCAATTGACTGATGATGAGTTTGCTCAATGCTGATGGTGTTTCAAGTGGTGCTTCAGAAGTTTTAGGATTGCACCCCAGGCGCCCATCACTATTGGTATTTAGAGTTTTAGAGGTTTTTTTAGAGTTTTATTTGGCATTTATAGGCCGCCCTTTTCCCTGAGGGGACTCAGGGCGGCTTACAACTCGTAGGGGGGAGTGCAAGACAAAA